CGTTCGTTTAAGAACAAAACTGAAAGTTTTCTTATCAAATTATACAAAGCATTCGTTCGGCCTCTTCTTGACTACAATACTATATGTTACTCCCCTAGACATCGCAAAACAGGCAAAATAATCGAAGGACTCCAAAAATATTTTCTAAGACGCCTCTCTCCTAATAAAAATTATAATTTTAATTATAAAAGAACACTTCTACAACATAACATGGATTCTCTCTCAGTTCGTAGAATTAAACAAGATTTAATTTACACATATAAGATTCTGTATGGTTATGTTAAACTAGATTGCTCGAAATATTATAACTTTAGACTAAATTTGGATCCAACAAGAACTAATGGCTTAAAATTACTAAAACCTATATGCAAAACTAAACTAAGGACCCATGACTTCTTTATTCGTACTATTAACTACTGGAACAAATTACCGAACGATGTAGCTTGTGCGTCATCCCTAGCTGTCTTTAAAAAAAGACTAGATAATATCATCTACGATATTATTTAAAAACAAAAAAAAAAGAGAAGAGTTTACACCAGGCAAGAACTGCAGGAAGTGAGAAAACTCGATTTTATCTTCAGGTTATATATGTTACTTCGAATTGTACTATATTATATTGATCTGTAATTTCCTCTTTAAATTGTTAATTTCTGTCATATTGTTTTATAATTAATTTTGTTTATGTTATATATATTTTTTTTTGTTTTGTGTTTTCTTTTTCTGTTATCTTAATTGTTATTATTAATACAAGCACATGGCCTTGTCGCCCTGCTTGGTTGGTTATCAATAAATAAATAAATAAATAAATTCCTGTCAGTACTTATTGGTGTACGAGCTACAGATTTCGTATTAAAACAATTAGAATTGAAGGATGTACCAGTGACTTTATGGTCGGATTCAAAATGTGGATTAAGAATCTAAATTGCTTCCTCGATTCGTTCAAAATTCGGGTCGAAGAAATACGAAAGGTAGAATTTACTTTTCGATACATACCAAGTGAACATAATCCCATGGATGTAGCAACCAGACTCGATTACTAAAAGCAATCATGTGGGCTCAATTTATCAAGCTAAGTCTCAAGGAAAAAATAACATGGTTCAATGATGTCTGCTGATAACCATCTTATGACAAAAAATAACTATAATATGGCAGATATTAATAAAACAAGCACAATCGAATGGAATAAATAAACAACAAGTAGATACATGGAATCTATGAAAAGGTTGACTTATGGCGAACAAGAAGTCGTCTATAAAATGCAGAATTGAACGAGGAAAGTAAGTTGTACCATGGGAATTGGACATACATTATGGCAAAGATTTTAGATACCGTGGCAGCTCTGCAATAAAGCGAATTATAAGGAGATACATGGCTTGTAAACGATGGAGAGCAAAACCATTCAGACTAATGTTAATGCCAAATCTACCAGAATCTCGTGTCAGAAAATCAAGTATCTTTGAACAGGTTGGTCTTGACTATTTGGGACCACTTTCAATCAGAGCTGACAAATATCGATTAGTCAAAAATCGAGTAGTCAAAAGATGGACAGCGCTCTTCACATGTTTTATTACTCGAACAGTGCACTTGCCTGTAGAATCTGTAGAAAACTTATCATCATAAATATTCATGCATTCATGTTTCGAAGATTTGAATCGCGATGTGGATATCTTAAACTTGTTTTAAGCGACAATTCTAGTCAGCTTCAATTGATATTCAAAACTATTATGGATCAAAACTATTATGGATAGAAATTTCCTAGCTTTAAAGGGCATGATATGGAAAAACATTATATCGAAAGCATCATGGAGCGGAGATGTTTATGGAAGAATGATCGGATTAATAAAAAGGGGCTCTCAAAGGAGCAATAGGTAGAAAACTTTTATGGGAAAGAGAATTAATTGCATTAACAGTGGAAATTGAAGGAATACTTAATACCCGTTCATTAACTTACTTAAATTTTGATGATTATAAAATTATAAGACTTATTGATTTTATTTCCCCAACGTTTTATTAGATACACCAACAGATGAAGGTAGTGTGCAAGATGAATTCACTCACCACCCACTGAATACTAAAGATAAATTGGTCAAATATTGGTCCAATACGCTCAAAACATTAGAAACATTATTCTGGGAAAACTAAATATTTATGAATATATCTATGAATATGAAAAATATGAATGATAGTCTTAGAGAATGTACACAAAGGGAAATAGCATCTCCCAAAAGAATAGAGAATCGAATTCCACGTCCTGGTTACTTTGTTAAATGAACCTGGACTACCAAGGGGTATGTGGAAGTTAGTGAGGATTTAAGAAATCAATACTGGAAGAGATGGAAGGGTGAAAAGTGTAAGGACGTAAAGTGTAATGATGCGAACTTCTAATCTCTTAAACTCTTCAATCGACCTCTTCAATCAACTTACTCTATCCACTGGAAGTAAATGAAGAGGACAGTGAAGAAGTCCAAACAATAATGACTAAGGATAGAGGAACCAATTGCTCTCTGAACTAGAGCAGCACAAAGAAGATGCGAGCTTATTCAACCTAATTCAAATCAAACAATAAAAGCGACTGAAATTAAATTAGTTGTCTCATTAGAAACGAACAGGAACAAAAAAGACTTATTGAACCAAATCGAATGGGTATGTTTAATTACAAACCTGATATTCTCCCCAAACCTGAAATTTTCTCTCAATCGGGAGTTTCGGAAATTCCGAAGTAATTGTATTATAAAATTATTCAAAAATAATTGTGTCATAAGATTATAAATTATAAAATTTTTATCGTTTGCTAGGGTCAGTTTTGCTTCGTTCGGTCAATTTAGCGACTATAATCCGATTTTTTATACTGAAAAAATTATTAAAACATTGTTGATTCATTAGAAAAAAAGTGACTGAATGAATATAAGTTCAATAAAGAAAATTAAAGAAATAAATAAATGGATTTCTTCGCGAATGTTTGAGCGAATTTCTTTTAGATGAAAAGCATTTTGAAATGAAATAAATAATTCAAGTCCATACTCGTTATTATGAATGAAAACGAGGACTAAAATAAGTTGATAAATTGCCATGAATTGTCTTCCAAATTCGTTTGTTTTTTAAATTGGTTCTTTTTTCCTATAATTCGATAAATTGGATTATGTGCACCGCTTGTCAGCACTCGAGGAGAGCGTATAAGTGAGTTCAGAACGTAGTCTTAGACGTTGAATACGCTGTGAGAGTCTTGAAGAAATGCAAGAGATTACAAACAGTGTGTACAACCACAGCTGACGAGCTTAGAAGCGGTGGAAGTAAGAATCTTTTTGTCTCACATGTTACACGCCGATAAAATACGCATCGTTGTTTTTACCTGTTATCGTAGTTTGAGAAAATGTCATTTTGAATATCTTAGATCCACTCTTATACCAAATGACTGAGCGAAACTGTAGCCCTGGCAACAACCATGTGAAAGTTCGCATCACCTTACTATTTAACTGCGAAACATGGCCAATGAGAGTGGAAGATATTAAGGAGTTGTCCGTTTGGTCACTCACACAAAGCACAAATCAAATTGCCCGTCGAACTGATAAAATCTCTCGCATAATTATGTTCACCATCGGTCAAATACCATCTGCATCCAGAATAATCGTCGTAGCATCGTAGCGTCGTCCACACTTGTTGCGACCATGTTCAGATGAATTCGCCCAGGAATTGAGAAGTAAAGTAAGTCAGGAATAAGCCCTATGAATGAATGGCTTCAAAATTTTCAAAATATAGAAGATTGGGCTATTGAGTCATCTCAAAATAAATACAGTGGTTTTTTCATCTATTGTCGATTACAAAGATTCATTCAGGATAGCTAACTACAGCTAAGTTCCAATCTCTTGATTTAATCAAAAAATAAAATAAAAAATTAGGCATATTAATAAGTAAAAGTGGGTAAGTTGGATAAGAGAAATGAAAGAAACCTGTCGGTAAGTGTCTTCAATAGTCGGTACATAATTCTCAGTGAAAGTACCCTTAATAAATCTATGTACAATAGAAGATTTGCCAACACCACCAGCACCAAAAACAGCGACCCGATAGTCGGAAGTTTGCTCCGGCATTCTGCTGCCTTGCAGCTGCAATTTTTATATATGCACATTCCATATATTTTACTAAATTTTACTAAATTTCAATTTTCATGGACTAATTTATACTTGTCATTAATGGATATAGATAACATATGTCTTAATTCTTGTAAGCAAATGATTAGCGCTGACCATTTTTGGTTTGGTCCTCTCCACGGGCTTTTAGTACTTTGAGGATGATTCTTGCTATGGGGAATAGAATTGCAAGTGGCGTTTCAGCCGGATTGTCGAAGTTTCTTTCGCTAAGGATTTCAAAAGAAAAGGGTGAAAGTTAAAAATTTCGATTGAACAAATTAATCGACACAAAGATTAATTAATTAATTTTTTTGTTTTTTAAATTAAATAATAAAATTATTACATTTCATGGGAAAGGTTAACTCATCGATTTTCCAATTTTCCAAGTTGTAATCATCCAGTAAAAATAGGAATAAATCTACTAACAAATTCATAAAATTTCTCAAAATCCGAGAAATAAGGAAAACATTTTAATTAAGATTAGTGTTGTTGGTTAATCCTGCGAATCTGAATATTAAGGAAAAGAGAAAATATTCGAAAAGTTGGACAGTTGAATGGATGATGGCTGTGGTACGACTGGAGAAGCAAGCCTAAGAGAGGAATAGCCAAAGGAAATAACAAATGGAATATTTGCGATCACTTTGAAATAAATACTGAAGATACCGTTTTACGTTAAGCGAACCATTCATTATAGCTAAATAATTTATGAATAATTTAAATTTAAATAAATTGTCTTGTTGTTCAGTTTATTGGAATATTTTTCTTTCTTCGAACGCCGAGGTTCATCCTAAATATCTCATCGTGAAGTCACTGATTTTTATAAGAACATTTCTAGAAAGACTATGGGAAAGATTTTTTGAACTGTAAGCTCCTCGAAATGCTGAACTCGCATAACTCAACTAAAATGTAATGACTAACGATGTTTAAATGGCTGAACTTCACTGAAGAGAGCTGGCGATCAATTTGAATTCGTTCCTTTATTTAAAATTTCCTACTACAGTGACTTTCAATATGACTCTCTTAAAGTCCATAATAATAAACTGCGATGCTAAACCGACATTTTGCCGCAAACTCTACAAAAGACGATTATAATCTCAGTTTTCACTTACTTCCTTTATCACCTCACAAATTAATTTGAATAAATTTACAACTTATAATTAATAATTTAAAACAAAATCTTTAAATGGAAAACAGACGATTTTTTAATATAAAAAATCAGTTGTGAAGAATATCAATTATAATCGCTGGTCGAGCGAGCCGTATATCACTTAGATATTTGTTAAATGTTCGGCGTATATCTCTTGTAGGAGTAGAAAGGTACCATCTGTACTTCTATTTCTAGGACACTTGGACGAGGCCCATCCTAATAGCCAATGGGTCCAATATGGTTTCAAGCAGAATTAGTTTTCCCATTAACTAATCAACTATTATATTGCACAACAGGCAATTTAATTATAGAAAAAATGAATAAAAAATAAGAAAAAATGTGGTATTAATTCGATGCTTAGTTGAAAACTCGGCTACTTAATAGCCAAATTGAATCACAAAGTATTTCTTGATACGTTCTGTCAGTATGATTGGTCATTTATATTAATTTTCCTTGATACGTTCGGTCAGCATGATTGGTCATTTATATTAATGATTTATTTGTCACAGTGTGAAAACCATATAAGAATTTTCTAACAACACTATTCTTTTTTTCGGTTTCTCTGGCCCCGATGACTAAGAGGTATTTCTCCATGTGCCATTAGGCGATAGGGACACTGTTTGGTCATTAAGAACCAGCAGGATTTCATTTTAATGGCTGGTTTGCTCTGCTAAAAGTTCCAAGCTCATACAAGTTGCACTTAGCCGAAGCAATACTAAGATGCAAAAATCGACTACCAAATTCCTCCTATAATTTTTTGAAACATTGTGGCAATATAAATTTCGTTCAAATATTTTTAATGGGATTTATTTGCTGATTTCGAATTAATTTAAGTCGTTTCTAAGTAACTAAAAGAAAATCTTAACCAGGGTAATAGCTGAAAACTTGAAATAGCTGAATATGCAAAGGAGAAGAATACGCAAAGTTCACTGAACGTAGGCGATTATTTTTATATAAAAAACATCACGGATGACGATAATATCGCACTTATTTTAATAATTTATTGCATATTCCACAATATCTTCGATTAAGGAATGGAAGAATTGATTAAGAGTATTAAAATTTTTTGCTTAAAGTACGTCTCATTACAGCAATCATTTAACAAGAATGAAGCAGTTGACACTTATCATTTCTGGTGACAATCGTTCCACTGGTTTAGCGTAGGAGAGAATTTTTGTCAGGGAGTCAGTTGGTGATAGAAGTAGAGATTAGTTCGCAGCATAACTCGTATTCTTTATTTCTTCCAGATTTTCCAAATTTATTTCTGTACTGGCAGCAAAAGTGATTCAGGGCGATGATCTGAGCAACAACCTGGCTATTCTATATTCTACCGCTATTTGACAAGAGTAACATAGTCAAAAGGAAGAAAACAATGCAAAATTTTGTGAAAAAAATTTATAGAATAAACTATTCAGCAAAACTTATTTTAATAATTAATAATTAATAATTTTAATAATTATTTTCTTTTATTTTAAAAGATTGATGACCCAAATTTTTCTAAATTCTTAATTTTCTAGAAAATTTATTTGCTCAAATTCTGGATCAATTTCACTGAGATTTGGCTAAATTGGAAAGAATTGAATATTCTTAAGAAATATGATTGAAACAAGAAATTTATTTTGGGCAACTTGTTTGATCAAAACAATCGGACATTTTAGCCAGATGAGAAGAAAGTAGAAAAAATCCTCAGAGAATTTCTTGCACGAGCGATTTGGCCGATAAATAAAAATTATTTTTGATAAATAAAACAATTCATGCAAATTCAACATCGAATGCCAATAAAATCCATTTGCGAAAGAAGAAAATGCAGTTCTTCAATTTTTATATAAGTAATTGTTGAATGGTTATGCACAAAATTTGTGGGAAATATCTCTTAGAATACATATATATTCCAGTAGCGCCCACCGTTTTAGTTGGCGCCTGCTACGTCCACGTCATTTTCACGTATCATTTTCACGATCCATAAATCTAATAATCCTTTATAGAGGCAAATTAATTAAAGAAATACGGGCAAATTATTAGATTTCTATTTTTCTTTCTTTTGTTTAGATTCAGTCCTAAGAAGTGTCGATGAATTTAAATGAAATTGAAGTGAACTGCCAACTGAAACGAACAAATAAGCAAAATAAAGGATAAATCGACAACGTTTAGAAATTGATTCGAGTCGCTAGCACCATCTAAATTTGTTTAACTTATGTTGAAAGAAGGATCCGAGCTTCCCTCGAATCTCAGGATAATAATCTACTAGGCGCCTAGTTATCCCCTCTACAGAGTGGAAAAGACGGAATTACTTTGTAGGGATGGTTCATGGATAATTTTTGGCAACTGTTTCTTTTTTCATGTAAATGTATGTTATATATTATAATAAATTAAATGATTATTTATTCTTTTATGCATCACAATTGATTTGCGTTTGCATTCATGGATAACTCTTAGTGTTGATATTTATAAACAACTTTTGTTGATTTTTATATGAAACTTGATGACACGCTCAACTTAATATAACAATATAATCATTATAAGTTCAGCAATGTTAGTTATTTAATTATTTATTTAACACTAACTGTTTCTGGCCAAACCTATTCCAAGGGCTTGGAATGAAATATCCAAAGAGTTACTTTTGGGCAAATTTGCAAAATCTCCAACAGCAATCGGATTAAATGCAATAATCCAAAATGAAATAATTATCCACTGCAGATTATTTCGATGATATCATTTTGATAAATTAAAATTTAAATTAAAAAGTTGTAAAAAAGTTCATTAAAGTTTATTTTAATTGAATGAAATTTGATGTTTGAAAAGAACAAATGATTTGGATTTTATTTTGATATCTCAGAAATATAATATTCTAAAAAAAATTTTTCTGATGTGATATCAAATTCTTGTGAATCTATTAGTTTTTAATTGTTTGTAATTTTCTGTATTTCCATCGTATTAGTGAATCCTTGGTGAATTTTTCCCAGTGCCATAAGCCAGTGGAGCAAGCCGAACCGGAAATGGTAAGCAGTTATTTCCATTTTAATAAATTAAATGGATCTGGATTTGCATAATGATGCCATTTCTCCACATTCGTTACGCTTCATCATCTTTTATGGCAACAATTAAGCGATATAAATCTTATTATGAATGTATTTATTTAAATTTGCTGCCATAATTAGATGCATGAATGAATGCATGCAAACTAAACACCTCCATTTTATATGATGAATAACGGCTATAACAAATTTTCTCAAAAAAAACATGAAATAAAACATTAATTTTTCTATTCATCGCTAATGTAATTTATGTTTTCGAAGAAATTTGGACAAAGAAGGACAATATTAAAAGAACAGCGAAAAATTTCACATAGGCATAAAGAAATAAACAGCAGAAATAATTTGGAAAAAAAGCGACGGTGGAAGAAATTCCAGAAATATTTTTGTCTATCGATTTTCTTTAATAATTAAGAGAATATTTATTTAATTTGAAGACGACAGCTATTATTCGCTATTAGATATTATTTTTTAGTCGTAATGAATAATCTATTCGGCAAGGATTTCTCAGGATTTACTGATAACCATTCGCCTCAGTTCATATTTCCACATTTTCAAGAGCATAATGTTGCAATACATCATATTCGAATAAACAGAAGTAATCGACTGAAGATTATCAGTACATGAAGCATTTTATAGCAGCACATTAGATTCTTCATGAATGAATTCTTCAGAGCAGTGATGTGATTAAAATTGAAAATTAAAATTTGCAAATCTTATATGATGTAGCTTTATTCTTATTTTTAGTGTAGCTTCCATCTTTCTACTAGTGTGCGAATCTG